TAGATTTATAGTGCTTTCATCGGAATCACAAAAAACAGTTAAGCGTTGGAACGTTTTTTGTTTTTCTATTCACGTCTGTAGAGATGAAGGACTAGTTATAGTTAGGTATCATCATTAAATTTCAATTATATATTCGATAGGATTCGGGCCTATTTTGACTTTGTTTTTCTTTTTTTCAAATATACAACGTCAAACAGATGTAAAATTTTCATGCTTAAACGTAACATTTAAAGTATCATGCAAAATTTATTGTAGTAAACTTATATCTTTCTTAAAAGGATACATTATTAATAAAAGTAGTCAAATATATAGGTTTTATCTGATTTGTTTTTCACGCTTTTTCACTATCTTTTTATCTTGAACATGTCGAAAAATCACATCTAAACTTTTTTTAGTTGTAGACTCCGAAAGAAAACGCGGAAAAAATAAATCACCGTAAAATATCTAATAACTCACTTTCTGAATAATAATGCCAGTTGATTGTAGTGAATCTTTGATACTCAAAATTGCCTGCGGCTTATGAAAGAAAGAGATATACACATAGATCTTATCTTGACAGAACATGAAGTCGTTCGACGAACTTCTTAAAGGCAATAGAATCATTTTTACCGTTATATCTTTACATATTCTTAAAACCTTCCTCACCAAAGTCGGTTTTCGTTAAAAGTGTAAAAATTGAGCTAAATCCATAGAACGATAGTATGAGATCTCATTTTTTTTCAAGAATCACATGACTTTTTATTAGATACTTTGATTTTTGTCCAATTGTTCCGTCATTCCCTGCTTCTTAGTTGCTGTATTTCTTTGATCGCACATCCTTGAATTCATAAAGGAGTCTTACTGTAGTCAATGGGTGTTTTGTGATCTAAAAGAATATTAAGATTCAGGATATAACAAATTCCTTTTTAAATTAAGCTTTGTTATAATAGAATGAAAGAGTGCTTGTATACATAGACTGCCATTTTTTTAGAGTTTTCCGAGACTTTGAACTTTTAGCTCTGCATTTCTTTTAATACTCTGATATTGGTCAATGCTTGAGACTATTAAGCATGACGGCATGTGTGACAACTTTGCTTACTCTCTTGCTCGACTCATGAAAATTTCGATTTTCTTTAGTATTTGTTTGATCTCAGCAGCGCGATTTTAAGAAGAAAAGATGTTTAGTATTGTCCTGTCTAGAAAAACTAGGGCGTGGGTGTGGATGTCATAGAAGAAAGGATCCACACCACCCACCCACACCCACACCCTGAATATAAAAATGTGATTTGATGAAGTTTTACATTAGTAAAGTCAAAATATTCTGTCCATTGCTGATTAACATGAGCATAACCCTTGAGTGTAGGTCCAGTGAAAATCTGTTTAGTGATATCACAGTTAATCGTTCTTAATGCTAGTTAGGTAGCTTAAAAACAAAATCGTTGATAATAAATAAAATCTGGTATATAGGTGCACGATACGTTCCAATGATATCACATATCTGAGAGAAAAGTCTCTAACGTGGCAGTTACATACATACATCTTCACCAAACGGAAGAAATGCATCTTACCTTTATTAAGAGAACAAGAAATGCACCAGATTTGAAAATGTGTACCTACTCAACTCTACGGAAAATGATCAAACGAAAGCTAATCGATAAATTCGTACTTAGAGAAAAAAATGCTTGTTAAACTAAAATCTTCAACTTAACTGATTAAACTAAATACATAGAAATAAAGTGTGGCATGTGAGTGGCAGCACGTGGGTGTGGGTCTTCTATTCAACCACGTCCACGCGCGGGGTAGTCTCATCATCTCCCATGTACAATACGAACGATTATATTTTTTTTAGTTGAACCCAAAGTGGAAGCTCCAAAACCAGCAAATGAACAATCATGTGTCATCGGTAAAGATACTCAGATTTCATGGAAGTTCAGTGGCATCGAGAAACCACAAGTGACATGGTTCTTCAATGGTCAACCACTTCTAACCAACGATCGTTTTCAAGTGACTGAGACTTATGATGGAACATCGACACTATCGATTCGTCAAGCTGAGCTTACCTATCAAGGTGATTATATTGCTCGAGCAATCAATGCTGTTGGTGAAGCTGAAGCTAAAACAACATTAAAGATTGATTGCATCAAACCTTTCATCAAGACTAATCTCAACACTGCACTGAAAGTCGCTAAAGGTGCAACTTTGACACTAGAAATCGTCGCCAGTGGAACACCAAAACCTCAAATTGTCTGGATGAAAGACGACAATGAACTTACATCCAATGATCGCATTCAAGTGACAGCGCCAATTGGTAACGATGATAAATACACACTGACCATCTTGAATGTACAACCAGAAGATCAAGGTGAATATTCAGCCAAGATTTCCAATTTTGGTGGATCACTTCAATCCGATAAGTGCAAAGTCATTGTTTTCAGTAAGTCGCCTAGACTAATCTTGTTCTTGTATACATATGCCCGTGTACCCATGAAAAATGTTAGTTGTAGTGTAAAGTCAAGCGAAACTTTGCAACTGCTATTTCTCTCATTCATATGTAAGCGAAACACATTCTTCTTATAGTTTATTATTCATGAGATGCGCTCAATTTACATAACTAATACAAAGATGTTTCAAAACTTGTTCCAAATAAGATACACTTCGATAATGCATCTTTCAGTT